AAAAAAAAAAAAAAAGAGTAACCAAATATCTTAGTAATATTTTTTGTGGTCCAAAGGGATAGGGACAGGGTAGAGGAGAAAGTTAAAAACAAAGAAAAGAAAAGGAGAAAGGGGAGCCTGGGTGGCTCAGTTGATTAAACGTCCGACTCTTGATTTTAACCCAGGTCATGATCTCAGGGTCATGGGATGGAGCCCCACAGTCAGGCTCCTTGCTCAGTGTGAAGTCTGCTTATCCCTCTCCCTCTGCCCCTCCCCCTGCTCCTGCATGCTCGCTCTCTCTCTCTCTCTCTAATAAATAAATATCATCTTTTTTTAAAGATTTTATTAATTTATCTGAGAGAACAGAAGCAGAGGGAATGCAGGCAGAAGGAGAAGAAGAAGCAGGCTCCCCACTAAGCAGAGAGCCCGCTGTGGGGGTCGATCCCAGGACCCTGGGATCATGACCTGAGCCAAAGGCAGACACTTAACCAACTGAGCCACCAGGTGCCCCAATAAATAAAATCTTAAAAAAATAAAAAAAGAAAAGAAGAAATATGTCTGGGTTGGAAAGTGAAAGAAATCAAGGGATGTGAGAGTATGCTAAGGTTCTTGTCTTCATTGCAGGAAGATTTACTTACCAATGCAAAAAGAATTTAAAAGAAACATAAAAAGTGGAATAAATAAACTAAGCTGAAAGAAACTGGTCCAAATACATCAATAAACATAATATATATAGATAGACTAAACTCAATAGGGAAAAAAAACAGAGATTTTCAGATTAGATATAAAAGAAATTTACATAGGATGCACATTAAATAGAAGACCATAGAAAGGCTGAAAAGCAGAAGATGGAAAAGACCCATCAAACATCACCCAAAAGAAAGTTGATATGGCTATAACAAGAGATAAAAGAAACCATAAGATAGAAGTATGACAAACGTTAAAGAGGATCACCAGATATTGATAAAAAGTTCAATCCACCAAGAAGAGATATAGCAATTCTAAACATATATACACCTAATAAAATATGCTCAAAATATGTAAAGCAAGAATTGATGGAACTACAAAAAGAAACTGATAAATCTATCATGAGAGTGAAATTCAGGCAAATTCTCTTCCTTTTTGATAGAGGAGAGAAACAAACAAAAAAGAGCAAGAACATAACACATGAACACAAATTAGTCAGATCAGCAAGCTTGATCTAGTTGATGGATACAGAATGATATACATACATCTGCTTTCAACAATAAACAATGGAATAAAGAAAAGATCTACATGCATGTGTAACTCTAATATGTGGCATGGCAGATGGGTAGGAAAATGATTATATTCAAGATGGATCAAGAACTGAAGTGTTGAAAACAATATTTTCAAATAATTTCTGTTCATCAGAAAACATCTTAAAGAAGATGAAAAGATGTTTCATACTGGTACATTGATTTGGGACATTTGGGTTATTTCCAGGATTTTTTTCTACTACAAATAGTGCTGCTGTGTATATTCTTATCCATCCTGAATACAACTTTTTTGTCTGGCATGAGGTAGGGATTCAGTGTATTTTTAACCCCAAGGTATAAAACTGTAGTATATTCTTACAATGTAATATTCTATAGCAATCAAAATGGAAAAAAACATACCCTCATCTAAAAACATGGATGAATCTTAGTAATAGAGGATAAACTAAAAAAATTCCAAAAAATGACTTATGGCATGGTACTAAACAAAATTAAATACTATACTTCTGAGGAATATATGTAAATATGACAAAAAAAATTTTTCAAGGCATATGAATAATCAACACAGAATCCAGAACAGGGTTACCTCTAGTACAAGGAAGAAAGGGGAAAAGGGGATGCAATTAGGGAATATCACCTAAATATAAGTGACGGTCAATGGTTTTGCTTGCAGGGTGAGTGGTACATTCAGAGATGTTTAGTATACCGTTTACACAGATCACGGGGCACCTGGGTGGCTTAGTCGGTTAAGCGGCTGCCTTCAGCACAGGTCATGATATCAGAGTCCTGGGATCCAGTCCTGCATCAGTCCCCCTCTCCCTCTGCCCCTCCCCCCTCATAATCTCTCTCTCTCTCTCTCTTGCTCTCGATCTCAAATAGATAAATAAAATCTTTTTAAAAATAAACAGATCAAAATAAGATATAAATGTAGGGTTTTAATATTAGTGTAGAATACTTCTACAAAGAAAGTCTTTAAAATTTTTCCACTTAAAAAAATTCCTCTGAATCCATAGTCAGCTTCTAGTAGCCACATATTAACGTAAGAAACGCACTTAACAATAAGCTAACTTGGGGTGCCTGGGTGGCTCAGGCGTTAAGCGTCTGCCTTCAGCTCAGGTCACGATCTCATGGGATCGAGCCCCACATCGGGCTCCCTGCTCGGCAGGAAGCCTGCCTGCTTCTCCCTCTCCCGCTCCCCCTGCTTGTGTTCCCCCTCACTGTGTCTCTCTCTGTCAAAAAAATAAAATCTTAAAACAAACAAACAAACAATAAGCTAAGTTGTTTCCTTAAAACAAAAGATCTGGTTCTCATATGAACTGTTCAACCTTAAGACACATGAATATTCTCTTAGTATTGGTTACTTACCGATTGAAAACTTCTCCACAAAAACAAGAGAACAACAAAAAATCCAACACCTGCACATATCACCAATTCCCATGGGAAACCATAGGGATTAGGACCTCTCATATCTTCAGGCAACGCTGCCACAACCTTCAAGACAAAGAAAATTAACTTTTCAAAAATGCATGTTTGATAAAAAGTGTTGATTACAAACTGATATACATGGAATGTTTGTGTCCCCCCCAAAATTCATATGTAGCAACCTAATCACCAGAGTGATGGTATTTGGAAGTAGGGCTTTGGGGAGGTGATCATGAACGCAGAGCCTTTGTGCATGGAATCAGTGCCCTCAGAAGAGGCCACAGAGACTTCCCTGGACCTTTCCACCATGTGAGGTAATAATGAGAAGAATGAACCAGGAAGTGTGCCTTCACAGACACAGGATCTGCGGCTCCTTGATCTTGGCCTTCTCAGCCTCCAGAACTGAGAACAATGTTACCTGTTTAACCCACCCAGTCTGTGGTGTTTTTATTATAGCAGCCCTCAGAAACTAAGACACAAACATAAGTACAAGTTTATGTGTAAACACTATTAACACCCTTTCCATGAAATGGGCTACCAGACTACCAAACAGAAGGTATCACAGTATATTTTTCTGGCAAGTGATGAAAAATAACACTATGGTATAATGCAGTGACTTGCAAACTGGAGACCTACAGAGACACCTCAGAGCTTCTGAGAGTAAGCAGAGAGAAGGCCAAAGAAAGAATCTGAGTTCAGGTCCTCTAACACTGAGATCAGCCTGTTTAGGTTTTATGTGTAGAGTATACTGGATTCCATTTATGATTTCCCCACAGTGGGGGAAAAAATAGATCTGCAGCTTAAAAAAAAAAAAAAAAAGTTTGAAAACCACCGATGAAGCTTTGGGTTTGGAATCTGAATGCCTCTACCCTACTTCTGTGGCTCCCTTCTCTTATCTGTCTTGGGAATAATGCTGTTTCAACATGCAGGGCAGGTACTTGGTAAAGGTAACTATTTCTATTAATCCTTCAAAGACCATGATCCTGTAACCATGGCCTTTCCACACTACTCCTCTCCCTAACAGGTCTTTGGCATAAAACAGCTTAAGGCTTTTACAGTCCCCCCTGTATTTCATCTTTCCCTGGGTCAGTTCATTATTCATCCTCACCCAATGGGGTTAGTCTTTTGTTACCAGGCTCCAGACACTACTCAATCACAGAAAGAAGAATGGTAGGGGAAAAAAGAAAAATGCCCTTTTAAGAAAAACCTTAAGTCTAATCAGGTTTGATTCTTTCCAGGGTTCAACCCAAAAACCTGTATGACCAATCTTCCCTTTTTAGGCCCTTTCTATCTAGAAAAACACCCTTTAATGTCTATTCTCCTCTCCAAAGTCTGTTTCATTACTCTGATCCATATAAGTACTCCTTCCAAATTGCTTTCTATACTTCATTAACCTGTATTAAATAAATCTGATTATATCTATTCTAAAAAAAAAAAAAATACCCCTTTACTCTGATCTCTGCCTCTCCCTACATTACCCCAGTTACCAATTCACAAGAAATGTGTATTTAAAAAAAAAAACTTCCAACCCAGAAGTTTACAGACGAATTAATGCCAATCATTCTCAAACTCTGCCAAAAAAAAAAAGGAGGGAACTCTTCCTAATTCATTCTATGAGGCCAGTATTACCTTGATAAGACAGCCAAACAAATATATCACACAAGAAAAGAAAACCACATGTCAATATATGATATAAATGCAAAAGTCCTCAACCAAATACTGGCAAACCAAATATAGCAGCATATAAAAAGAATTATATACCATGACCAAGTGGAATTTATCCCAGGAATACAAGGTTGGTTCAACATACAAAAATAAATCAATGTTATATACCATATTAGTAGGAAAAGAAAAATCACACGATCATCTCAACACAGAAAAGATATTTAACAAGATCAAAACCCTTTATGATCAAAACATTCAATAAACTAGGACTGAAGGGAACTTTCTCAACCTGATAAGGGGCACCTATGAAAAACCAACAGCTAACATCATACTTAGTGGTGAAAGATTGAAAGCTTTCACCTTAAAATCAGGAACAAGATAAGGATATCCACTCTCTCCGTATTCATTCAACATTGTACTGGAGGTTTTAGCCAGGGCAGTTAGACAAGAAAAAATAAAAGGCACCTATACTGGAAAGGAAAAAATAAAACTATCTCCATTTGAAGATGACATAATTTTACATACAGAAAAGCCTAAATAGGCCTAAAATTCTAAAATAAGAATTCTAAATAAGAAATTATTAGAGCTAATAAACAAGCTCAGCAAAGCTGCAGAATACAAAATCAATACAGAAAAAATCAGTTCTATTTCTATACAATAACAATGAGCAATGTGAAAATGAAATCAAGAAAACATTTCCATTGGGGTGCCTGGGTGGCTCAGTCAGTTAAGCATCCAACTCTTGATTTCAGCTCAGATCATGATCTCATCAGGGTCCTGAGATCAAGCCCCACATAGGGCTCTCCACACCGGGTGTGGGGCGCCTGCTTAAGATTCTCTCTCTCCCTCTCCCTCTGCCACCCCTCCTCCCTCTCTCTCTGAAAAAAGAAAGAAAGAAAGAAAGAAAACATTTCCATTTACAAGGCATCAAAAAGAATAAAAGACTTAGGAATAAGTTTAACAAAATAAGTGCAAACCTCACACTCGGAAAACTACAAAACATTGTTGAAATAAACTTAAGTTCTAAACAAATGGAAAGATGTCCCATGTTTATAGATTGGAAGACTTAATATTGTCAAGATGGCAATACTCCCCCAACGTGATCTACAGAATCAATGCACTCCCTATCAATATTCCAACTGCCTCTTTTGCAAAAATGAACAGGCTGATCCTAAAATTCATGGAAAAATGCAAGGTATAGCATTTCCTTCTCTATAGCTATATAGCCATAGAGAAACAGACAGACCAGGAAGGAAGCAAGCAAGCAAGCAAGCAAGCTTGGACTACTCATACTTTCCTATCTCAAAGCTTACAGCAAAGCTATCATAATCAAGACAGTTTAGCAATGGCCTAAGGATAGGCAAATGAACAACGGAATAGAAATGAGTATCCAGAAAGGAACTTAAATTTATAGTCAATTGATTTTGAACAGCAGTACCAAAACAAATCAATGGAGAAAGAATAATCTTTTCAACAAATGTTACTGGGACAAGTGGATCCCCACATGAAAAGGAATGAATCTGAATTCATACCATACTCATACCATATATAAAAATTAATTAAAAAATGGATTACAGACCCTAAGGTAAGAGCTAAAACTCTTAAAAGAAATCATAGTTGTAAAACTTTGTGACCTTATTTTTAGCAATGGTTTCTTCAATATGACACCAAAAGCACAAACGACCAAAGAAAAAATAGTTTTCATCAAAACTGAAAATCTTCATACTTCAAAGGTCACCATCAAGACAGTGAAAAGACAACCCACAGAATGAGAGACAATATTTGCAAACCATATATCTGGTAAGGGTCTAATATCCTGATTATATAAAAGAACTCTTATGACTTCAACAATAAAAAGACAAATAATCCAATTTTTTAAATGAGCAAAACAAATGAATAGATATTTCTCCAAGAAAGATACACAAATGGTGAATAAGCATATGTACAGATGCTCAACATCATTAAAATTACAGGAATGGAAATCAAAAACACAATGGGATACCACTTTGCATTCACTAAGGTGGCTAATAAAAAAGTGTTGGAGAGGATGTGGAAAATTTAACCCTCTTGAATTGCCGGTGGGGATGTAAAATGCTGCAACCTCTGTGGAAAACAATTTGGCAACTCCTCAAAAAGTTAAACATATGGTAAATATGACCCAGTAATTCCACTCCTAGGAATATATCCAAGAGAACTGAAAACATTCACAAAAACTTATACACGAATGTCCGTAGCAGTATTACTCATAATAGCCAAAAGAGTGAAAACAATGCAAATGTCCATTAACTATGAATGGATATTCAAAATGTGGTATATCCATACAACGGAATATTTTTCAGCCATAAAAAGGAATGAAGTACTATTACTTGGGGTGAATCATAAAAGCATACTAAGTAAAAGAAGCCTTAGACAAACGGCCACATATCACATGATTCCATTTACATGAAATATCCGGAATTGACAAATTCATAGAGACAGAAAGTAGACTAGTAGTTGTCAAGGGATGGAGAGAGGGGAAAATTGGGAATAACTGCTAGTAAGTACAGAGTTTCTTTTTGGGGTGACGGAAATGTTCTGGACTTGCAATGGCTACACAACATAGTGAATATCCAAAGAAAAATAACTGAATTGGAGACTAAAAAGGGATGAATCTTATGTGAATTATGGTTTAATAAAAAATAAATTAATCTTTTAAACTAAAAAAAAAATTTAAAGCAGAACAGTGTTGTGCCATCCTAGCCCCCAGGCCCATTTGGTGAGCACAGTGGTTTTTAGCAAAGAAATCATCCAGGTAAAGATACATTTATAGGACTAGAACAGTTCTGCAAAATCTGGCTACCCCTCTCCATGTGTCTCTTCATTCACAGTCCTATAAAAACTAAGTTTTGATTATTGCAGTTTTTAGCGAAGAAAAGTAAATATGTACAATCTAAAATCCTCTCTTGTTCCACAATATGCTTCTCTTCCTATAAACCCTATCTCTGTGAATGAATAGGTTGCCATAGCCAGAAACCTGGCAGTCATTCTGGATTCCTTCACATCCAATCAGTGAAATCCTACCCATTTTATCTCTTAGCTACTAAATATTTTCCCCATCCAGCACCCTCTTCTTTATCCCTAACTTGACTACTCTGTCATCCCTCCCCTACACCATTTCTAGTTTTGTTTTCCTTACATCTAACCTACATGCTACCATCAGGAAGCTATTTAAACCAAAAGTCTAACCACTGAAATTCTTCAAATGCTCTCCAGCACCTACATCGACTGGAATCTACTTATGTCTCCAACAAGTATCACTGTGCACGTCATTCCCCAAGCCTACTTTGTATTCTAGTAAAACAGTTCCGAGTTCCCTTCACACACAGTGCTATTTCATGTCCCCTCTGCTTAAACTATTCCATTAGCTTGAAAAGGCTTTCCCAAACACTCAAGAAAATATAATCTCTCCCACCCTTCAATTTCCCTAGCACTTTTTGTGTATGCTTTGGTAAGCAGTTCATCAGTTTCTACTTTGTACTATTTTTTTGTCTTCTCTCCCTTAACAGACAGCATGATACCAGTGGCCCAAACTCAGTCCATTTAAATTCTCACAGAATTGTCATACACACACACACACACACACACACACACACACACCCAATCACTAGATGCACTTGGTTGAATGACTGAATACCATGACAACAGTACTTTTTAATTTAGGTAACAAGAAAACAATCCTCATAACTGACCTAGTATTTTAAAAGACTTTTTGATTTTTAATGCACACATTTTAAAGCACGGGGATATAAATACCCCTAAACGTGTCAACAAAGACACATAAATACTTAAGAGAAAAAAAAATCTATGCAACCTGTTATAAACTGACCTTAAAAAAAACAAGACATCTTGGGCGCTGGGAGTTCAGTATCTCCAGATTTTACACCAGCACGATCTTTTTACATTAACACACAGAAAGAAGCGAAGAAAAATCTCACTTATGGTAAAGTATCTCCAAAGAGCATTCTTTATTACAAGAAAATGCAGAATTACAATCCCAACTCCCCGTCCAGGCTTAGGTGTCCTTTCAAGACAACGAGAAGTTTCATCACTAAAAAGAATTCATTTCCGAGGATCAGTCCTCAAGTTTCTCACAGTTGGGAGAACCACATGTCATTGACCCCTGTTCAAAACGAATAACATGACGGAAAAGCTAATTCGTTTCAGGAATCCGAAAACATTTAACACACCTTTGCAAAATCCCGCTAGGCAAACGCTCTCTTCACCTTCCGGATCTCCAGGTCCCCTTCCACCACACACACACACACACACACACACACACACACACAAACCACACAAGCAGCCTACGAACCTGGCTACTGCCTCGGACACAGGCCGGAGCCCGACAGCAGGTGAGGACTGGCTTCAGGACCTCTAACCACGGCCGCTCAGACCGCAAAACCAAAGTCTGCTGCTTCCTTCCCCAGGAGGCTCCTGCGACCCCTGGGCCAACTAACCCTGATCGCGCCTGAACTCACCCTGCGTAGCTTTTCCAGAACCAGCCCCAAGTACGACTGAGGGGCCGTCCTGGGCCCCTCCATGGCGCCAAGGCTGCCTCAACTGAAGTGGCCGAAGCCAGGGCCTGGCGGAGCCACAACAATCAGTAGAGAACACACCGCGTTCGGTCCGGAACCCAAACCTGCACCCGGCAACCGGAGCAGACCACTGAGGAGCCGGCTGCGGGGGGTTGCTGGAGGGAACGGCACCGACAGGCCTCATCGACAGGCCTCAAGGGTCCAATGATGCCCACCCGGAGAGCCTCGCCCCTAGTTATGCTTTACGTCCTGAAGATCCAAAGATCCAAGCCCGTCCCGCACGAACCTGCGACCCTGCCCTCTCCTCACCGCCCACCCCTCGATTTGGTTTCGGCCAGGCCTCGGCTGGGAGGCGGGGACGCGGGGACGCGGTAAATTTCCCCTCCTTCTTCGCGCGACGTGTCCTTGCCTCGCGTTCTTAAAGTGGCCGGCGCTCTACTTGGCAAAGCCAACCACCCTTGGAAGTCGACGGGCTCGAGGCAGAGACAGTGGAATTGGGCCTCAGGCTCTGCGCTGTGGTGTGGGCCGCACAGCCCGGAAGACTAGGGCAGTGGCTCAGGGCCCCCTCACTTCGGGTGGCCGCGGTAGCGGCGAGGCTCGTCTTGGAGGCCCCCTGGGCGTGGAGACCCGCGGGGTGAGTGCGGCACGGCCCCTCGACCCACGGGTGGACGCCAGGTCACGCACCGGCCCCCAGCGCTTTTCTCTCGCAGTCAAGAGCCTATCTGCACCCCCATTGAAGCCCAGCGTACCCCGGGGGACGCTGCCAGCTCAAGGAAACCGGCCGCCGCCTTCATTCCAGTCAGAAAATGGCCTGCAGGGCCTGTGCATCCTGCCAACCGCGTCCGGACTTTGGACTTTGGACAGGAAGGGGTCGCGGGTCAGCTGTGGTTTGGGCAAAGTTTAACCTCTCCCAAGCAAGAGAACATCGATCGGGTCTCCTCTGCCCAGAGGAGGATTGCAGGGATTTACTCGCTTCTACCTAAGTTACCTGTACACTTGCTAGGCAGAACTGCCTTAAATTCCACGAGTTCCTAGTTAGCCAAACGCTAAAGCAAACCCCTGTGGACCTTGGCTGAGCGACTGGTGTTCTCCCCTGAGAAGGGGAGCTAAAACTAGCACCTTGCTGTCTAAATTTAGGACCCTATTTTTAGGTCTGTTGAATAAAGTATGGAGTGCTGGATTTGTTCCTGGGAGACTTTTAGCTGACATAGGTGTAAAGGATAACCCAGAAGGCTTCCTTGCCAGCAGTAATAATCCGCAACAAACTCGGCCTGCTACGAGTCCTCAGTGAAGCAACACAAAAAGGAGCAGATACTTCTTCCTAAACAAATCACCCAAGAGAACTCAATAGTTGAACAAAATCTTAAATCCTTAGGAAATTTCCCTAATGTAAGCTGGCAGCAACAGAACAACTGTGCCAAAAAGAATCAAAAATTGGCCCAAGTTCACAACAGTTGATTTTAGGACCAAAATGGGGCCTAGTTGTTTAAAACTCTAAAGTGCTCTCTTTTGCCACATCAGCCTGCAGAGTTTCCAGGAACTATCGGTATCAAAACATAGCAGAAATTGCTTAATATTTCTCCATTTTTAAGGTATTACACAACGTTCCTATATGTTGGACAGTGTGTATTGAAATTATATTATGTGAACACCTTATTAAAGTCAAAACAGAAGCATAACCAAAATTTTATATTTAAAATTTCAGAGAATCATAGAACAGTATATATCAATTAGAGGATTGTATTGGTAAAAAATTCTTCAATGTCTGAACATTTTCAGAAAACGCTAGAATCATTTTCAGCTTTCAGGACTTATTTATAACCTAAAACATTTTTTTTAATCCTTTTGCCTAAGGCAGTCTGTGCCCTTTTCCAATTTTTCAATAATTACCATTCCAAATATTAAAAACATAGATTAAAGACAAAATAATAAATGAAAATTTTTAAAAATCTAAAAGATTCCCCCATAAAAACACAGTAAAACTTCAACTCCGTGCCAAATTCAAACCTAATTTCTCTTCTGTACACTTACTAGTCATATAGAAACTTACCTCTTCCTCTAGATTGTTCAGTTCCATTTTTTAAAAAGTTCATGTTAAAATATCTTAACATGTAAATAAAGTTCTACTAAGCACCTCATATCCTTGAGAAAGATTTCAGATTCTCATACATCTGATACACTCCTGTTTCCACACAGATTGTGATCCTGTTTTGACACTTGTGTGGTAAAGGGGTGCTGTAGGGGGAGTTGTGACTACCAACACAGAATCCAATTTCATGGCCGTCACTCCTGATTAAATATGGTTTTTTTCTAAAATATCATATACATTACTACCCTCATAAAAATCTACAATTGAAAAGAGACATTCTGAATTTGATAACTGATAAAAATTCAATTGAATGTTGTATTCTATAGTCAATTCATATAGAATACATGATTTTTACCATGTAAAAGATATTCAAAGATTGTTCTCAAGTAGATATAGGATTTTGCTGTCTTATATAGACCTGCTTTAAGGGAAATGGAGAACAAATGCTCTTAGTGACAGCTACTAGGAGGCATCAAAGAACACTGGAAACATGCTAACTAGTAAACCTTGTCCACAGCCTAGAAACTGATTTCCCTTATGTAGGGCCCTGTTGCAAAGCTGTAGGTACTAGTTACGCCCATTTAATTAAACAGACAATGTCATGGGCTATAGGATCTAGTCCTTTGGAAGAAAACCAAACATGCTGAGCCACACTTTCTCTCTGTACTAGTGATGTAAGAGTTGTTCTCAGAACATATTGAATCAGGAGTTACCTGTTGAACAAGAGCTGGGTAATTTCCTTTGTTAATTCCACATATAAATGAAGCATTCTAATTAAGAATAGATAAATGTTAGAACTCAAAGAGCTTCTTCAATTATAAAGTAGATAAAAAGTAGTATTAATTCCTATTTCTTAATTCAAAGAAAGTATGTTTTATAAAAATGTAACTGAAATTACTAGCAAATAGAAAAAATTACCTGAAACATTTAGGCAGAAGAAAAGGAAATCTTTTCACCTAAATTTAACTGGAAAATTGCTCAGATTTTCCATTTACTGCAGCTATTCAAAGCTATATTATGGGAGCTTAGTAGATGCACTAAGATTTTAAAATTCTAGGTCTGACAGGAATTCTTCAGAACATTTAGTCCAAACATTATGAACTTAAAGCCCTATAGAGGCCATACAGATGAAATAAATGCAGGGAAATGAAGAATTCATGTCTATTCAATACAAGTACTATTCCTTGAGCTTCTTGGTTGCCATATGAAAATGGGAGACTATATATTACAGTCTTCTACTTTTTCAAGAGAACCCAGAAATTCAGATCTTTGTTATGAACTCACCTTTTAAATGTTGGTAACCGGTTCTTAATTTTTTAAACAATGCACAAGTCAATTTTGACCAGCAGCCTGTCATCTAGTCTCAGCTTCTGATATTAGAGTTTTAAACCTGAAACTGCCCTCCAGAATAAGTAACTTTCCAAGGTCACAAGATAATTACCATAAATTTAAATTCAATATTCCCATGTCTAAAAATTTTCAACCAAAATGGTTAAAGTAAAATGTGTTTGACCATATTTACTGAATCCACAAAAATAAACATATCAAATATCAAAAGATCTGGCAAAACCAGGCTAAAGGTAAATAGTAGCTACATCCTTTGGAGAAAGCATACACACTCTGTTGGTTACAATTCTCATCTTTACCTATGCTTCATTCATTTCATTTGAGTTTATATACCCTGATTTAGACCTTCACCATTTATTTCCTAAACTAATGCAATAACTTCTTGACCAGACCTACCTTTAGTCTTTATCTGTTAAATCCTTATTTGATAATATTGACAGACAGACTTTATAAATGAAACTTTTTCATTTTACTCCCTGCTTAAAATTCTTCAGTAGTGCCCCATTATCTACAAGATAGAGTTCAACTTCCTATTATAACATTCGAAGCTATTCTTGATTCAATCCCTGTATAATCTTCATTATCATCTATATTCAGTCAAACTGAATTGCTTATAGTTCGCCAAAAATGCCTTGATCTCTCCCACTTCTTTACCTTTAAAAATGGTCTCTCCGCCACCTAGAATGCCGATCCTTTCTTTGTCTGGCCAACTCCTCCTCTTCCTTCAAGGTAAGTATGATCTCCTCTGAGACACTTTCCCAGGCCCCTCTTCCCCACCATCTCTACCTACCACTTCCAGTCAGTCTTCTAGGGCATCAGTAGGCTGATCAGTCTATTAGTAGCATCCTATGGCTATTACAGCACTGTATTATAACTACTGCTTTTTTTTTTACCTGTGTCCTCCAACTAGAGTAAGCTCCTTAAAGCAGCCTCTGGTAAATTTCATCTTAAAATGTAAGAAGATAAAAATGCTTCTTCAATTATTTATATGTTAGCAGTAGATGAGAAAAGGAAATAACATTTGTAAAAGGCCTTCTATGTAAAGCACTATAGCTAAGTCCTTGGCAATATCTCATTTACAATAAATGAGATAGGATTTAATAGGATTTACAATAAAAAGTGGACAGATTTTGGAATTTTAGCTATGGCTTGGTTAAATTTTGAGATATTAGTTGCTTTTGTAGGATTCTCACAATACACCATTTTGAGATCGCAGCTGTCATTCAGATACTAATAAGATGTGCTTAAGATTCATTTTAGCTCATATCATTTCCAAGTTAATTCATTTAGCATAATTTTCCCTGATATGAAAAAAAGGGAAGAAAATAGAAAAAAAAAACAATGCTGAAGATCAACAAAACTTAAGGAAAGGTTTAAAAAAAAAATCCTTCAGCGGCACCTGGGTGGCTCAGATGGTTAAGCATCTGCCTTCAGTTCAGGTCATGATCCCAGGGTCCTGGGATCAAGCCCCACATCAGGCTCCTGACTCAACGGGGAGTTTGCTTCTCCCTCTCCCTCTGCCTCTCCCCCTGCTCATGCTCTTGCTCTCTCTAAATCTGTGTCTCAAACGAATAAATAAAATCTTTTAAAAAAAAATCCTTAACAATATCCATGCAACAAAATGTTCATGTAAGAGAAATCGTACAGGCAAGATTTTATGGAAAGAGAAACATTATGTAACATTTGCATAGGGAGGATTCACTCAAACATCATTTTCAACTATTCCTATATTTAGAAAAGTAGGTAAAATTATTGCAAAAGATTTAAAAGGTCAACTTACCCTTTCTGTAAGAACTATAATTGATGAAAATGCAGAATTCATGAAATCACAAATGTCAATTTGAAATAAATATTTCAGAATCTGATACTCAGAAGCATCTTCTGTCAATTTATAAATAAAAATAAGTTAACAATGTGATGTAACTTTTGAATCTAATTTCTTCCTTAATTGCTGCATTAGAAAACAAATAACTTTTTTTTTTACCTTCTTGAGAAGACAAAAAGTAATCATTTGAAACTGTTTGACTATTTGGCAGGGTATTTTCCACAGATCTGTCTATTTCCGCCTGAGTAGATCCTTCAGTACCTAGTGATGTTTTTGATTTTTCATCATTATTTTTAGAAGATGGAGTTTTGAAATGTACTTCTTTATGAATTCTCCTGGGTGACTCTATTTTAGGAGCCATATCTGCAAATAAAATTAGAAATGTTCGGTTTTTTTTTTTAAAGATTTATTTATTTATTTTAAAGAGAGAGAGAAAGAGCACATGTGTGCACTGGGGGAAAGGCAGAGGGAGGGAATCTTCAAGCAGACTCCCTCCTGAGCGAGGAGCCCCACACAGGGCTCCACATGGGGCACCATGCAGGGCTCAGTCCCACAATCCATGAGATCATGACCTGAGCAGAAACCAAGAGTTGGACACAACCAAATGAACCACCCAGGCACCCCTGGAGTTCGTTTAATACTTGCTTTGTTGTGGGCTTCCCTTTTGTTTTCTAGGCAGGCCATTCTTTGAATTTTTGTGGTTATTGTGATACTTTTTTATGGAAAGAATCCACTAAAAAATAAATTGCAGCCTGCATTAGTTCCTACTGCTAATGTAATAAATTACCACACACTTAGTGACTTAAACAATACAGATATATTCTCTTAGAGTTCTGGAAACCAAAAGTCCCAAAACCAAGGTGTTGGCAAGGCTGTGTTCCTTCTGTAGGCTCTAGAGGAGAATCTATTTCCTTGCCTTTTCTGCCTTCTGGAGGCCACCTACATCCCTTAGCTCATGGACCCTTCTTTCATTTTCAAAGATAGCACTGCAGCATCTTTTAACCTCTCCCTTACTCTGACCCTCCTTCCTTCCACCTTTAACAAACCTTGTGATTATATTGGGCCCACAAGGATACTCTCTCCATCTCAGGATGCTTAATTTAATCATATCTGCAGGTCCTTTTTGCCATGTCAAGTAACGTAGTCACAGGGTCTGGGAATTAAGACATGAACATCTTTGAATGGCCATTATTCAGCCTATGCAATGCCTTTTCTTTATTCTTTTACCAAGGAAGAATTTTTAAAACTGTATACAATTCTATTCTCTACATTGCCTTTTTGTCCTAAAAACTATTTTAAAAAAACTAACATAGGGCGCCTGGGTGGCTCAGTCGGTTAAGCGACTGCCTTCGGCTCAGGTCATGATCCTGGAGTCCCGGGATCGAGTCCCACATCGGGCTCCCTGCTCAGCGGGGAGTCTGCTTCTCCCTCTGACCTTCTTCCCTCTCATGCTCTCTCTCTACCATTCTCTCTCTCTCTCTCAATAAATAAAAATCTTTATAAAAAAAAACTAACATAACTGTCAATAACTCTGTTGTGCTATATAAACTTATGACTAAGAGCAAGACATTAAATAGCTCTCTACAGGACTTCATTCCTCTTAGAAACATTTATTACCCAAGAAAGTGTAATATTTAAATGCCATTGCAAAAATATATATCCCTGCCCTTCAAGAAAATTGGTAAGATAGATTATTCCTACTTTATCTGTTAGAGAACCAGAAAGAGTCAAATGACCAATATTATTTACAGTATCTACAGCCTACCTTTCTTTTATACAAAAGGATTTATTAAAAAACCAGTAAGACACTACAACATCATGACACTATAACACAGGGCTTTTAACACAAGACTTGCTTTACAATACTGAAGCGACAAAAAACACAAATCGATTCAGAGGCATAGCAATTAAGAAATAAAACAATGAAAGCAAATTTCTTTTAATGAGAATCAGAATCAAACTTTAGAGGGACTCAACATGATACTTCCATTCGGGGACTTGATACAAAAAATTATTTGAACTACTATGAGCAGGCAGCAAGAGCCACCTTCAAATGAATCTTCAGATTGGAAAATACTGTTTCACCACCTGTTGGGGATAAGTTGCAAATGGAAAAATTTAGTATGATCAGTAGCTATTTCAATGATCACCTCGCCTGGATCCTTTCCCATAACAACTCTGCTGGTTGCTGTAATCACCATATCCACAGTAGTTGTTGTAAGCGATATAATCATATCCTACATAACCACCTATTCTATTTAATAGGTAGAACAAACTGAGCCAGTTACACAAAGAAAGGGAATATTAAAACTTACAGCAATCAATTTCCAAGTTCTGCAATCTAGTCCACTGGATCATGCATATCTACAACACATATTTGCCAGTATGTACTATTAAATATAAAAGCCATTATCACTCAAACTTTTTTTTTAAATTTTATCTATTTATTTTAAGAGAGAGAGCATGCAAGCATGAGAGGGATAGGGGCAGAGAAAGAGGGAGAAGCAGACTCCCTGTTGAGTGCGAAGCCTGACATGGGGCTCAATCCCAGGACCCTGAGATCATGACCCAAGCTGAAGTCAGACGCTTAACCCACTGAGCCACCCACGCACTGCCTCTCTCAAACTTTAAATGAGATTGCTCCAAAGATGGAAGAACCACTCACTTCCAAAGAAACTGTATTAGTCATTTGCACAGAAAGATACCCATAGGCTTAGGGTATTTGAAACAAATTTGAAACTGACAAGGTACCAATCAAATGTCAGGTATTGTACTTTGCCCACTCTCTTGCAGCTTTGTTAATTTCAAAGTCAATCTTTGTTTCCCTCTTCATCCCATCTCCAGTATATTATTATATAGCATATTATCCAGTAGGTATATTAGAAGAAACAATGAATAAATAGAAGCTTTTTAAATCCTAAAATCAGATACATCTTTTATATCAAGTGAAAATTTTGAATGATTGAGAGCAATCTTTAATTGGCTAGTAATTACAAGATGTTTTATATTTTAAAGTACATTATTTACTAATTTATTAAAGTGTGTTGTGTAAAACAAATATAGATAATGTACGTTCACACTATATTCTTTTTTTCTTTTAAAGATTTTATTTATTTATTTGACAGAGAGATAGAGAGCACAAGTAGGCAGAGTGGCAGGCAGAGGGAGAGGGAGAAGCAGTCTCTCCACTGAGCAGGGAGCCAGATGTGGGGCTCGATCCCAGGACCCCAGGACCATGACCTGAGCTGAAGGCAGCCGCTTAACTGACTAAGCCACCCAGGCACCCCTCAAACTATATTCTTAACATCATTATTTAAGTTATTTTAGCAATTAAGCAAAGATTGACAGCATTAAAATAACATTTTGTATGTTTATGTTGGCTCAGTACGTATTGTAAGTAGAATATAAAAGTAAAAAACTTCAAGATATTCTCATTCAACTGTTAGTAAAATACATGCTTCCATGAGTATACACAGGTATATGCTTATTTTCTCTTTCAGACCCAATAACAGCATAAAGTTGTGCTGAGAAATCAAATTAAAATCAATAGTAAATTATATTTTGGATTTCATTCCTATGCTATGAATGTGTCTGGCAAAAGCAAAATTATACATGTTTCCTTAATTTGATGATCTCATGAAATTCACATAATTCTTCAGTGAGTGCCATAAATTTCTGAGAAGGAACTCAAGAAATTATAAATCTCATCACTGCTTTTTTTACAGAAGTCATAAATCTATAGTGGCAGAGAAAAACTTTATATTATCCAACTGATAATATGATCATTAGGGAAAATATAAGGTTTATTTTGCATTTCAGTGTAATATGGCTGATAGAGATTTAAATAAAATATTCCTGATTTTTCTGATTTTTTTGCTACATATTAAATATTTAAATGATTTATACCTTTAAATGATAATATACCTGAGTTCAAATTTAGAATGAAAATATATATGCACATCTTTTGAGAACCTTCATTTAAAAAGGATTATCCACGGGGCGCCTGGGTGGCTCAGTAGTTAATCATCTGCCTTTGGCTCAGGTCATGATCCCAGGGTCCTGGGTTCAAGTCCCGCATAGGGCTCCCTGCTCAGCGGGAAGCCTGCTTCTCCCTCTCCCACTCCTCCCTGCTTGTGCTTCCTCTCTCGCTGTCTCTCTCTCTGTCAAATAAATAAATAAAATCTTTAAAAAAATAAATAAAATAAAAAGGATTATCCGGGGCACCTGGGTGGCTCAGCATCTGATTTGGGCTCAGATCATGATCTGGGGATCCTGGGATCCAGCCCCGAGTTGGACTTTCTGCTCAGTGGGTTGTTTGCTCTTCCCTCTCTCTTTGCCCCTCTCCTGCACTTGTGCTCTCTCTCTCTCTCAAATAAAATCCTAAAAAATAATAAAATAATAAAATAAAAAACAAAAACAAAAAGGATTATCCTTCCCCAAAATTAATTGAAAAAAAATTTAATTTGAACCATGTCAAAATTTCCCACATTTGTATTATTGCATCATATATTCATGTGCATACCATATCAAATAGCCATTTATTTTAAGACAATTCAATTTTCAAACATAGTTTAAACTGATCATTTGATTGAATTAACTAATCAGAGTTAAAGGGGAAAAAAAGTTTTAACCAGTCCTAGCCTGAAGTATAGTATTCAGGTAAAGTGGGATTTACTTCTCAGTTATATCTTAAGATAAGGATAGGAAAGTATCAGTGCAGTTCTGAAGAGCAGTATTAATGATTAGTAAGAGAATTATTCAGTGTCTAATTTTGCACTTTCAATTACAAATTTAACATAGCACTTTGATGCTGTCATTTATTTGGCATTGTTCAAAAGATGAAAGTCCCAAGTAAGCAAACACGTATCAGTAATTTAATAATGCCCTCTGTGGACATCAAAGTTAAAAATGAGCAATCAGGGGGCCTGGGTGGCTCAGTTGGTTAAGCGTCTGCCTTCAGCTCAGGTCATGATCTCACGGTCCTGGGAGCAAGCCCCATGTTGGGCTCCCTGCTCAGCAGGGAGCTTGCTTCTTCCTCCCCCTCTGTCCCTTCTTCCCAACTTGTGCTCTCCCTCTCTCTCTTTCTCAAATAAATAAATAAAATCCTTGATAAAATATCGTTTTAACTCCATTTAAAATAAATACATATGTTAAGGAAAATTAATACTTCCTATAGTATTTTTATACTTAATTAAATTAATTTCAGGGTATTATTTTCACATGACTTAAACCTAAGCTTTAAGATTTACCTTAGATACAGATATGCCTTTCTTTTTTTCTTTTTTTAAGATTTTATTTATTTATACGAGAGAAAGAATGAGAGAGAGAGAGCATGAGAGGGAAGAGGATCAGAGGGAGAAGCAGACTCCCTGCTGAGCAGGGAGCCTGATGCGAGACTCGATCCCATGACTCCAGGATCATGACCTGAGCTGAATGCAGTCGTTTAACCAACTGAGCTACCCAGGCACCTCAGATATGACTTTCTTACAATTGTTTATAAACAGAATTTTAGGTCAAATAAAATAATGAAGAACTTTTCATATTTTTTTATTAATTTTTTTTTTAAAGATTTGACAGAGAGAGACACAGCGAGAGAGGGAACACAGCAGGGGGAGTGGGAGAGGGAGAAGCAGGCTTCCCGTGGAGCAGGGAGCCCGATGTGGGGCTCGATCCCAGGACCCTGGGATCATGACCCGAGCTGAAGGCAGACGCTTAAAAACTGAGCCACCCAGGCGCCCCACGAACTTTTCATATTTAACTGTACTTGGGAAACTCATTATTTAAATAAGTTCAATTGGAGTCCTTTTGTAAAATAGTTACTAATATTGTAATAAAAATAATTGTTCCCTAATTTATCTGTTTTGTAAATACCTATATCAGTATATTAGTTTTTCTGTAAATCTGGTTATCTTGGGTATCAGCCCTTCATAAATAGTGATTTAAGATCAGTAATTCATTTTTTTATGCACTCTTTCTGATTAAGGCAAATTTTCATTTGCTATTTCATAAAAGAGTTGTTGAAATTATCTGAAAATTTTGGCTGTTGTAGCTACTTCCCCAATAGCCAAAAAATAGGGCCTGTGGCTTTATCTGAATTTCTTTTAGTATTCCTTTTTAAAAACAAATTTTACGTGACCCCAGGTCATTTTCCATTTAATTAATATCATAATATTTTGGAATAATATACTTTGTATAGAATGACATATCTTTTTTAGAAACAGAGTAATTTCTGAATATTTTCCTGAAAGTCCCTCAAAACTAGTTATAATTGCATAAATGCCTTATTCTCATTTGATTGTTCTCGAAATTTTCATATTTAGAAATTCTCTTAGCATCACTATATGAAATAATAAATAAATTCTACTTAAGTGATATTCAGGCTGTCCTTGAGTTTCTAAGCATGCTCTAAATATTTTCATATGTCTATATTTTGAATTTCCTCTATTTCTGGACCTGATACTGTTTTGCTTTATTTTAGTCTCACTTATTCTTCCCAATTACTCTTATCTGCTTTTTCATAAATATCCCCTTAGGATCTAACAAGGGTAGAACAAAATAATTTCCTCTTTGCCTTTGGCAATCTAGGTCTTTAATATTTTTAGTCTTTGGGGCGCCTGGGTGGCTCAGTCGTTAAGCATCTGCCTTCGGCTCAGGTCATGGTCCCAGGGTCCTCGGATGGAGACCCACGTCGGCTCCCTGCTCCGCGGGAAGCCTGCTTCTCCCTCTCCCACTCCCCCTGCTTGTGTTCCTGCTCTCACTATTTCTCTCTCTGTCAAATAAATAAATAAAAATCTTAAAAAAATATTTTTAGTCATTAAAAAGCATCACACCTACACCTTTCTCATTTAGAAAAGGGGAAGAATCTAAGTATACATTCTGGTTAAGGATATTAATTAAGTAAAGAGTTCACATTTTGGAGAATATTAAGAAATAACATATAGTTCTTCTGGAAATTCAAGAAAATCAACCATTTCTGATGGAAATAAATGTGTTTTCTTCGGAGTTTGCAACACTGTTGATCTCTTCTTGTGAAAGGCTATCTGTCATTCAATCATTCCTGTATTATTGGCCAATATTTGGGGAGTTCCTAATCTGTCCATCAGAGAGACATCAGAATGGAGATGTGGGAAAGTCATGTTATATAATTCTTTACTTAAAATAGAATCCACAGGTTTTTAATCATAGGAATTACTAGATACCTAGACATCTGGATCTAGAAGTATCCTCTGATACACTGCCCTCTTCCATTGCCTACTCTTGAGCTCCCAGAATTGAGAGAAAACCATTCAAATATAGTTATACTGGGAAGGTGTTAATGAGCTAAAAAGTTAATGTAAACGAGCAGAAAGAAATCCTCATTTACCAAAATAGAAAGTCAATGGACATCATCTAATATAAATCAAAGCAGAACAATATAAAGTTTTATAAATAGAGATAAATACTAAAAGAAATTTGCTTCAAAAAAGAAAAAAGAAAGAAGGAAATTACTGTCCCTGGAACAGAGGTTAGAGTAGAGATGGACACAGGGAACAGAAATTGCTTTTGTTTAAAAAGAAAAATAGCCTTGGGGCACCTGGGTGGCTCAATTGGTTGAGCATCTGCCTTTGGCTCAGGTCCTGATCCCAGGGTCCTGGGATTGAGCCCCGCATCAGGCTCCCTGCTCAGCGGGAAACCTGCTTCTCCCTCTCCCACTCCCCCTGCTTGTGTTCCCTCTCTCGCTGTGTCTCTCTGTGTCAAATAAACAAAATCTTAAAAAAAAAAAAAGAAAAATAGCCTTAGTACTATTTATATTTTTAAACCTGTTAACATATACTACTTCAATACAAATAAAAATATATTGTAAGCTATCTTAAGATCTTCTTGGAACATCTACGTATCTCCAATCATTCTTTCTTCCTTAGTATTTTATTTTATAATATTAAGATCTAAGTCCCAGAGTAAACCAGAAATTAATAAAAGGGTAGTTGATAAGGTTGTTGTTAATTATTGAGTATATTGAGAAACATGGATTTCTGGACTTTTTCATCCGATTTGTACTGATAAAAATAAATTATGTTTAAAAAAGCAAATTATATTAGGGGCGCTTAGGTGGCTCAGTCGGTTAAGTGTCCGCCTTCTGCTCAGGTCATGACCCCAGGGTCCTGAGCTCCCTGCTCAGCAGAGAGCCTGCTTCTCCCTCTCCCTCTGCTGCTCCCCTGCTTGTGCACTCTCCCTCTCTCACTGTCAAATAAATAAATAAAATCTTTTATAAATAAATAAATAAATAAATAAATAAATAAATAAATAAAATTACAGATATTTTATACAAACCTGACGGACTGGCTCTGCTTTTCAGCATCATAACTTCCATATTATCTGTGTGATAATTTTCAGCTGGAAATTCTTCTGTTTCATCATTTTCAATTACATTATTTTCATCCTGTATCTGTTTGGAAAATTGCAATTCTGTTTCCTTTGGAATGTCCTGGAAGTTCCAATTATATAAAAACTTTTTAAAATATAGTAAGGTATCAGAATCATCTGTTTTCTCTAGGACTCTTTCCTTTCCTACTTGCTCTTCAGTTTCCATAATTTCTATTGTTTTTATTTCTTGTTCCTTATCAGGGTCAAATTTACTTGTTAGAAGATGTTCATGTTTATCTCCTCCACCTCCTTCTTCACTTTTTCCATCATCTGATATAATTTTATCTTCATTGGTATATACAAAGCCTAGCATACCAAAACCAAAATCAAACCAACTTGGCTTGAGAATTGAGGTATCATTGGCGATTGTGTCTTCTTTTTCTGTTAATATTTCTGTGCATGGAACTGTGGGTTCTTCCTCAGATGATAAGGAATTAGGAACATCTTGTAGTGGTGGATTGCTTTCTTTGGACAATAATTCAAGCCCTGTATGCTCACCTCCAAAACCTAAATAACTTTTAAAACCACCCCCAAACCAACTAGTGGCTTCAGGACTGATAATGTTCTCTGACTCAGAACCTAGTTCAGACTGTTTCTTTGGCACTGAATTGAATTCCAATTCAGGTTCTTGCTTTTGTTCTGTTTGGGGTTCATCATTATTTAATTCCTGTAGGTCATTCTCATCTTCTCCTGCTATTTTTCTACTTTGAAATGAACTTTCTTGTAGAGGTTCAATAACTGATTCAAAAGCCTTTCCTTCAGCTAGTTCCCTTCCAAATCCAAACCATCCTTTCACTTCAGGCGAGGATGGTGGGATGTGATCCGCTTCTGGAACATAATCCTCTTCCATACTTCCAGCTTCCACTCCTTCCCACTCTTTTGATTCACTAGTACTTCTGATATCTTCAGGAGCTTCCGATACTGGAAACTGCTCTTCAAACAAAGTACTTTCAGAAGTTGAATAAAATCCAGATTCTGTCTGAAAATCACTTTCATATACACTAGATTTTTGGTCTTTATCTTCTTCATATGGACATATATTTTTGCCATCATCACTGTTTAATTCACTGTCTTCATTTTCAAATGTGTAACTTACTCCAAGAAGACAAAGAAAATCAGATTCCTACAAGAGAAAAATTGATTGACATAAATATACTAAAATTCCTTGTTTCTCCCTAAATCACTTAAAATAGACAACTATGATTGTCCCAAGACCACACAACTAGCTCAACAGCACAACAAACACTAAAATCAGATCTCCTAATCTCAAACATATCACAACTGACTCAGGGTCAATGATATAAATCTAAATGAAAAATCAAGGCTTTGAGTATATTCTGGAAATAAACTCTTGATGAAAAGGCATACAGGTCCACAAAATCTTGCTTCTTTTAAGAGTACATTAACCAGACACATGCAGCTGTGTGGTGATTTGAGAGAGGGGAGTTTCACAGCACATGGTGACAGCTCAGACAGCCCAGAGATTCTAAAGCATGAAGGCCTTGTTAAAAGTTGCACTACAGGGGCGCCTGGGTGGCTCAGTCGTTAAGCGTCTGCCTTCGGCTCAGGTCATGATCCCAGGGTCCTGGGATCGAGCCCCATGTCGGGCTCCCTGCTCTGTGGGAAGCCTGCTTCTCCCTCTCCCACTCCCTCTGCTTGTGTTCCCTCTCTCCCTGTGTCTCTCTCTGTCAAATAAATAAATAAAATCTTAAAAAAAAAAAAAAAAGTTGCACTACAGGGGTGCCTGGGTGGCTCAGTCAAGCGTCTGCCTTCAGCTCAGGTCATGATCCCAGGGTCCTGGGATCAAGCCCCGCATCTGGCTCCCTGCTCATCGGGAAGCCTGCTTCTCCCTCTCCCACTCCCCCTGCTTGTGTTCCCTCTCTTACTGTGCCTATCTCTGTCAAATAAATAAAATCTTTAAAAAAAAAAGTTGCACTACAACATTTAGACTTCTTTTATTGAACACTGTATATAGCCAATTGTGGTGGGGAATCCTCTTGTTCATCTCACAGAACAACCAGATCATCAAGAAGAAAAATGGTGAAGTTAATATTTTTTTTTAATTTTATTTTAAGTAGGCTTCACACCCAATGTAGGGCTTGAACTCATGACCTGGAGATCAAGAGTTGCATGCTCTACCGACTGAGCCAGCCAGGTGCCCCAAACTTATTATTTTTTAATCTGAAGGTATGAAACAGTGAGATGTGCTGCTCTTTGGATATGATCATTATGAAATGAGAATAAAGTTCAGAATTTTTAAAAAGTAAACTTCAAAATTGAAATTTTACAATGTTTTAGGCACTGCAGTATAGTATGTGATTTGGAACAGACTCTGGAGCCAACTGTCTGGGTTTAAATACTGACCCTGCCATTTACTAGCTCTGTGAACTTGGGTGAATTATATGACCTTTCTACGCCTCAATCTCCTCATCTGTAAAATGAGGATAATGACAGTATCTACCTTATAGGGGTGTTGTGTTGTGAGGATTAAATGAATGAAGTGCTTAGAATAGTAACTGTCTGTAGTAAACACTAGCCTAACCTGGCCCAAGTTACACTACCCTAGATGAGCCAGTAATGTAAGAGTAAAAAGGCCCAACACCTTGTCTCTATTCAAGGCAACTCTGAAAGGCCATCCCAGGTTCAGAGTTCCTTATGGAATCAACTGAGACCTTTGTTGTAACTGCATCACAGTTCAACTTCTCTGCCCAATCCTGCTTTTTCTTTTGGTCCCTCATAAGTGTTATTCCTAAGAGTATTACACCCCAGTAAACCTCTCGGGTGTAAAGGTCTACCTTACAGTCTACTTCCCAGGGAACTTGACCTAAGAATGTAGGGCTTCTGTATGCTTACTATATGCTATATACTGTGCTAGGTGCTTCTACAGTCAACAAAAGGAAAAAAGTAATTATGAATTGTGGTAAGTGCTATGGAGGAAATAAAGAGGAATCTGTGATTAAGATGCAGTAATTCCACGAAGATCATCATGGAAGGCTTCTCTGAGGCACTGATGTTTACACGGTGATGTAAAGAATAAGAAGGAACTAGCTAAGTGAAGAACCTGGGGAAAGCATTTGAACCAGAAGGAGCAGCCTACTAAGGTCTCTGGGCTGGGAAAGTATTTGGCATGTTCTAAGAACAGTCAATAGGCGAGTGTGGCCAGGAGCATAGTGAGTGAGGGGAGAAGTGTCAGGGTCATTGGGATGGGGGTGGAGGACAGGAGCAGATCATGTACAGCCAGAGTAGGTTGATTCTAGGTTCAATGGAAAGCCATTAAGAGGCTTTAAACCAAAGGAATGACCTCTGTTTGTTTGTTTTTTTTTTTTTTGGTTTTGTTCTTATGAGATCCATTGCTGTTTGGAGAATGAATTGGAAGAGGACAACAGTAGAGGCAAGGAGACAAATACTGTAGTATTCTTATCAAGAGATTATAAGGCCTTGGATTAGGGCTATGGGGAGAGTGAAAATGACAAGAAGACAATATATTCCATATATATTTTGGAAATAAAACTGACAGGACCAGTAAGTATACATTAAATAGACTGTTAATCCCAGAATTTATGCTGGGAAAGAGCCAGATAATAGACAGTTTTCTTGACTAGGCTAACTCACTTCACATTGACCTTATTTAAGGTAAGTTGCCTTAACTTGGAATCTGAATTAAATGGGCTAATCAAACTTACATATTGAAAAGTCACTTTCTGATTCCTCTTCTCATTGTCAAGCCCAACATTATCAAACCCAACATTATCAAGCTCATTTAAAACTCAACAGAAAAAAGAAATTGTACAGATAGGAGACCTAGAGAGAGTGATGGGAAATAAATTTTGTCCTAGTGGGATAATAACATTAGTAACAATATCTAATACTTATATAGCACTTACTAAGTGCTGTTCTATATACTTTACATATGTTCATCTTTCCCCAATAAGTTTATAAAGTAGCACTATATTATAATCATCATCCTCATTTTACAGATTAGAAAATTAAGGCATACAAGGCCACAGTCAGGCTTTGAACTCAGTCCAGAATCCATGATGCTCTTAACCACTTCACTCTACTGCCTGTCTGTAAATTTTTCAGAAAGCAGTATGCCTGTCATCAATTCTGTCTTACCTAATTTTATTCACATACTCAAACTATTCCTAGAGTGAATTCTCAGACCAACTATTTTACATATTCACTATACAAGATACTTAATCAATGGACACTTATACTACAGAAAACTGCTTTAGCCAAGAAATTTTAAATTCAATTAACAACTGAAATGTTATTAATACTCACTTTAGTTGATATCTGAACTTCATCAGATATGAACACCTCTTCAATCTGGACTGCATCTCTGGGAAAATATCCAAAGTCCTTTCCTTTCTACCAAAATGAAGAATAAAGATTAGCAAGGAAGAGTAATCAAAGCTATAATAACCATTGAGCCTAATTTTGCCCCAGGTCCTTGGCTTTCATCTATCTCAATCACAAACATTAATTGGCTTTCATTTGCCATCTAAAAGAAAGTAAGTGAAATCATATTCCTTTTTTTTAAGATCTTATTTTTAAGTAATCTCTACACCCAATGTGGGGCTCAAACTTAGAACCCCCAAGATCAAGAGTCACACATTCTACCAACTAAGCCAGCAAGATACCCCTATTATTCAAAAGAATAGTATTAATTTGAGGGAACAAAGAGTCAAGTTGTAAAAGGCCACTTTTTCAATCTTCTGAGGGAAAACCACCCCACACACTGATTTTCTTCCTTTTTATGTTTGTCAATGACCTTCCTTACCCAGGTGGACCCCAGATTTATACTGTCAACCTGGAATATCAAAAGGCAAAGGAATGGTGACAGTAGCCAAGCTAGATGGAGCTGTGACATATTCAACATTTTCAGGATGTCAAAATCAAGTAAGAGATTTAAACTCTGAAGGGCCAAGATGGATTCATCAGAACAGCAAAGATCTATGAGTCCTCCTGGGATGATTTGGTTCCCTTCAACTTTTCTGGGGCTACCTTGGTAACAGCTATCTTCTTAATCCAGTTTAAGTACATAGAAGATGTCCCCTAAGAGTAAAGGTTTCACCACTCTCAGCCCATTTCCTATCCCTGGCAAAGTTTAAAGACCATGTTTTGGTCCTTTGATCCAGCACCATTACACCTCAACTGTGATTCTTCCAGCTCTGTAGTTGCTGCAGCTACTTGGAAACTGATAGTCTGTGGGTGAACTCTGCAGTGTGGTTTCTTAAACAGCTGCCTGCCTGACTAAAACACCTAATGCAAGGAACTCAGTATGCTTGAAACTCCACCCTGGCTCCACACATTACATGCTGCTTTTGTGAGGAACTATCATTTTCACACATAGAAAACAAGAAAGAATGCTTTCCTTTCCTCTTACGATCCCTACCGTGTTATTTTTCTTACAGCTGCATTGGTTGCCTCTAATTTGTTCAAAGACATCCACTGGCATGTGTAAGAGACCATAAGCAGTAAGGAATCTTGGGAACCATAAAAGCCAAATAATTCTGGCCATTGACAGTCAGTGGTTCGGTCATACAGCCCCTAATGCTAAAAAGCAGGATCAATCCAAACAGAACCTGTTCCTTCGAATAGTGATCACAGGGGTTACACAACAGAAAAATCTGTTGCATGTTCAATATGGAAATGATGTATGCATCAGGTTGGTCATGCTTGTTCGGCTTGGAAGTAAAATTGCTTATAGCATCTTTTCATTATAAAGCATAACGATACCATCAAAGATACAAATGTGTTTTCAATTGAAAACATTAACCATTAATTTTCCTGTTACATATTTAGAGAGATTACTCAGGCTTCTAGGAATTTCAGTGTAATAGGACTTTGGGCCAAATAAAAGGCTCTCCCAATTGTTGTCATTGTTGTTTTTCATGAAAAATTCATATACCTTGATTCTCTAGGCTACTCATCTCTCTGGATCTCTTCAATAAGAACTCCATCCTTGGGGCGCCTGGTGGCTCAGTCGGTTAAACATCTGCCTTTGGCTCAGGTCATGATCTCGGGGTCCTGGGATCAAACCCCTTATCAGGCTCCCTGCTCCGCGGAGAGTCTGTTTCTCTCTCTCCCTCTGCACTCTCCCCCACCCCCGCCCGTGCTTTCTCTCTCTCTCTTTCAAATAAATAAATAAAATCTTAAAAAAAAAAACAAACCATCCTTTACTTGCTCAGAAAGACATGTCTTTTAATCTGATTAACTAAAACTTCCCAGTCTCTTTTAAACTAAGCCATTGGCAGCATCATGGGATCACTGGTGTTGCCTAGACATCCCATAATCTCCACCAGCACCTCTAAATTTTATTCTCCAAGTAAATATAAAACTTAACTTCAAAAACCATGCATGCTATGTAAAAATAATTTCAAGGCACTCTTAGTTCTCTATTCCAACCAGAATGCCTTCCGAAAATACTACTTTTATAGAAATTCTGGAACCGGGGTGCCTGGGTGGCTCAGTCGTTAAGCATCTGCCTTCGGCTCATGTCATGATCCCAGGGTCCTGGGATCGAGCCCCGCATCGGGCTCCTTGCTCAGCGGGAGGCTTTCTTCTCCCTCTCCCATTCCCCCTGCTTGTATTCCCTGAACCAAGACTGAACATGACCATTTTTTATTTGTTTAAATATGTTAAGGGTGGGGTGCATGGGTGGCTCAGTTGGTTAAGCATTTGACTCTTGATTTTGGCTCAGGTCCTGATCTCAGGGTCATGAGATCAAACCCCATGTGGGGCTCCACACTCAGCGGGGAATCTACTTGAGGTTCTTTCCCTCTGCTCCTCCCCCAACTCATGCACATGCTCTCTCTCTCTGTTTCTCTCAAATAAATAAATATTTTTAAAAAAATATGTTAAGGGTTTTAAATATATATTACATATATACTATATATGTAAAGTGCTTTAAAATTATTAAAGTTCCTTTAGAAATGAAAAGCAGGTATTCTGTACAAGCTAGTCATTTATTCTACATTCAGTTTTTTTGTTTACATTCAGTTTTTAAAACTAGATACTTACACTTCCTGCCCACAAATCTTCCCTTTCTCCTGCAAGTTTAACATAAACAGATATCTCTTCTCCCTTATTGAAGTTCAGGAATCGGCAGTCAGGTCCTCTATAATCTCTCGTGGCTAAGACTCTGCTTATTAAAGCTATATAAACATGTGAGAAAAACACACAATTTAAATTAAAATGTTATTTCTCCCCCTCCCATCTTGCCCTCCTACAGTCTACTCTATGTATTTCCAAATGCTAATTTCTTCATAGCATTTATCACCTCAAAAACCTACATAGATTTCCCACTGCACACAGAATCAATTCTAAGCTCTTTGGCTTGGTATCCAAGGCTATTCATAACCTGATCCTCTTCCTTATTTAAAATGATTTCCTCTTATTCCTTTACAGTCAAGTTCATCTATCCATTGTCCCTGGAATATGTCATTATCATTCTTGTCAGGAAGGAAAGGTGAAGATAATTTGTTTTCTTCCTAGCACCTACTACAGTAGTCCCCCTTATCTGTGGGGGATATGATCCAGGACCCCTAGTGGGTGTCTGAAACCACAGATAGTACTGAACCCTATATACACTATGTTTTTTTCCTATGTATACATACATATAATAAAGTTTAATTTATAAATTAGGCACAGTAAGAGATCAACAATAGTAAAATTGAACAATTATAACAATATATTGTAATAAAAGTTATGTGACCAATCTCTCTTTCTCGAAATATCTTACTATACTGTACTTATTCTTCTTACAATGATGTAAGATGATAAAATGCCTCCCTAATGAGATGAAGTGAGGTACACGAGGTAAGCACTGTGACATAGAGTTGGGCTACTATTGACCTTCTGACTGCATGTCAGAAGGATCATCTTCTTTTGGACCATGGTTGACCCCAGGTAACTAGAACCATGGAAAGTGACCCATGGGTAAAAGGGACTTTTGTATATTCCAGGCATTATGATAACTCTTTCATACCTTTATTTTATTAAATCCCCCAAACAGACCTATAAGGTCAATAATCTTATATCAGTCTAACAAATGAGCCTTTAACTAAGTCTTAGACAGTTGGTCACACACCTGATAAATGGTGGAGCCAGATTTGCACTGAGATTATTTTTACTGCAATATCTGCCTTCCATGTTCTGAGATTTTTCTTTCTGTTCTTTCCTAAGCCTAGAAACCCTTCAGTCTCTCTTTGTGATGAGCTCATATCCTTCTTCTTCTATGAGACATCCCAAATTGGTCCAGCCTGTTCTGCCCCTTTTCCGAACTTCAATATTATCTATTATCCTTATGTTGTATTGCTATTTACTTTTTCATGTTGACCTAATTCCTGGAGGTCAAGAAACTTATCTGACATTTCATTTTACTCCTCTTAAATCACACTCATACCCCTCCAGACTCAGCACATAATAGGCCCTCAATAACTATGATCATAACTACATACACTAGATTTAGCCCTTCAGTACATAAAGTAATATACATACCATATTACCTATCATAATTATACTAACATATGTAAAACATTTTGATTAAGTCATATGATTAAAGTTAAAATAACATTATAAATTACTATAAATTTGAATGTTCCCTTTCCATGTTTCATGTCTGGCCCTAAGGAAACTAAAATTAGGTTGTAAAAAGGGAAAGAAAGATTATTACTATTATAAAACATCATCTAGTAAGTCTCTATATATCAAATTACATATCCAAATGATTAAGGAAAATGTTTACTCAAAAAAATTTACTTATAAATTATTACTTTCCCACTAATAATATTTTGCATTTTTAATTTACATGTTGCAAATTGGAAATAATTCTCACATACTGAAGAGATAGAACATATTTAAAACAATTGTAATATATTGTGATACTATTCATCTTGCACCATAATGCTAATAACAGAAAATAACTTCTTAAGTAATAAAATGAAAATTAGTTTTTCTTTGTAGAAGATAGGAGAAAGTTAAAATTCAAGTATATAAAATTATGTACTCCTAACACTGATTTCATTATTTTTACATGATAAATGAACACGGAAATGATTAATGTTTGATAAAGCTTAGACAATAAATCATGGTGATATGAAATAAATGCATTTTTAGAAAACTCATGAGAATCAGAAAGTTCTGATTGAGAAATAGAAACTAAAAAATAGGGGTGCCTGGGTGGCTCAGTCGTTAAGCGTCTGCCTTCAGCTCAGGTCATGATCCCAGGATCCTGGGATCAAGTCCCATATCGGGCTCCCTGCCCCGCTGGAAGCCTGCTTCTCCCTCTCCCACTCCCCCTGCTTGTGTTCCTGCTTTCGCTGTGTCTCTCTCTCTGTCAAAGAAATAAATAAAATCTTAAAAAAAAAAGAAATTAAAAAATATAAGAGCTTCATAAATAAAGAACTATCAAATGGCTTGAAATCTTTTTAATACAAATCAATACAAATCAATTTAGCTACCTTAAAAAACAGTAAAAGCGCTGATTTGTTTTTGAGGCCTGAATTAATACCTTCATCATTTCTGATATATTTATATATCAGGCTGATCTTTGCCCCTTGATACACTTACATTAAAATTTATTACAAATGCTTTGCTTCTAGCACTTTCTTTTTATAGATAAGTGTATTTTATAATGGCAAATATTTCTCAATGACATTACTGCTCACTTCTATCCTACATGTCCACAATAACATATGTCATTTCAGAACTTTAGTTTAAGAGGAAAAGAAGGAAAAAAAGAAAAGCAAACTTACTTTCACACTCCAAGTCACCACATTTTTTAAAATCTGCCAGCAGTTTTGTGCCCTCCAGACACTTTATCAGAGAAATTACCAAAAGGAGGGTTCTGTGAACTCCAAGCTCCGCCATGCTAAAACAAGCAGGAATCCCAAACAAGGTTTAAGCCAATTGTTTAGGCCGTAGATATGCCAGCCAAAACAAGAGATATCCCACTCTCTCCACTAAATTTAAGAGAAAAGGTTTGTTTTTCTGAATCCCTTGACAATTACATTTTCAACTGGTGTTTAGGCTTAACTTGAGGGACAAACGCTCTCTCTTCACAATCTGCAGTGTCAGGTATCCAGATAATACATAAGGGTTTAATAATTAACAGAGGTTTTTAGTTGGACTCATGGCTTATAAAGTTGACCCATGTAAAACCGTCTCACTTAAAGGTACCTTGCACTCAACAGAACAGTTCTTAAACAGGCCTCTACAAAAAGGTAGCTCATCTCTTTATGTTAAAGTCTTTTTTTTTTTTTAAAGATTTTATTTATTTGAGAGAGAGACTGAGATAGAGAGCATGAGAGGGGAGAGGGTCAGAGAGAGAAGCAGACTCCCTGCTGAGCAGGGAGCCCGATGTGGGACTTGATCCTGGGACTCCAGGATCATGACCTGAGCCAAAGGCAGTTGCCTAACCAACTGAGCCACCCAGGCGCCCTATGTTAAAGTCTTTAAATCAGTCAATAAATACAGAGTATTTGCTGTATGCAAATAACAGTATCAATGGAGAAAGTATATAGTTATATGTAGAAGCAGTAATAATTTATATTAAAACCATGGCTTTGAAATATGATGAAAGTTATTTTTAAAAAATCCCACTTTCGGGCGCCTGGGTGGCTCAGTTGGTTAAGCGATTGCTTTCGGCTCAGGTCATGATCCTGGAGTCTCAGGATCGAGTCCCGCATTGGGCTCCCTGCTCAGCAGGGAGTCTGCTTCTCCCTCTGACCCTTCCCCCTCTCATGTTCTCTCTCTCTCTCTCTCTCATTCTCTCTCAAATAAATAAATCTTAAAAAAAAAAATCCCACTTTCATATTTCATTTTTTTTCTAGATTTTATTTATTTATTTGAGAGAGAGAATGAAAGAGAGAGAGCACAAGAGGGGGAAGGGTCAGATGGAGAAGCAGACTCCCCGCCGAGCAGGGAGCCCGATTTGGGACCCGATCCTGGGACTCCAGGATCATGACCTGAGCCGAAGGCAGTCGCTCAACCAACCGAGCCACCCAGGAGCCCCCCACTTTCATATTTCAAAAACCTTCAGTGTTACTATGAAACTGAAACTTGTATTTAGTTAAGAATATTAGTTCAAAGTGGTAAGTACTTCTTATGTCCCAGGTATTGTCTTAAACAATTATGTGATTTGATTTAACTCTCACATCAACTGTCTAAGGTAGGTAATATTTTGCTTATGAGGAAACTGAGGTACTATTAAGCTAGCTAGATATTATCTAATGTTATTGCTGCTTAAAAGGGATCAAAGCCCTATATTGGGACTTTCTATGTAAAACACTAGATCTCGGTAGATTTGGGGAAACCAGAGTTGTCCTATTTCAACCTTGAGAAAGTAGTTTTCTAACTCCTTTGCTGTACCCCTTCCCTATATTTGGGCATGCCACCGAGTTCCTGGCTTGCAGAATACAGCTGTTGTATGACACCACACTCCCCTCTAGTGCCTGACACAAAGCAAATATCCAGCCCCTGAGCAAGCTAAAGTGAAGGACTTTTGCTTTCAGGATCCTAAAAACAACAACAGCAAAATCGGTGTGTTTATTTGTTTGTTTGTTTTCCAAAACAATAGTAAGAAGCCCCCTCTCTCAGATCAAAGATTTTTACATCTTTAGAAAGAATCTGATAGAACATGAATTTGAGGATCATTTGGCTGGCAATCAGATCACTGTACAGTTGTTCACATGCACACTCAAAAAGCTTTAGATTAGTTTCTTGGTGCACCTAGGTGGCTCAGTCGGTTAAGCGTCTGCCTTCGGCTTGGGTCATGATCCCAGGGTCCTGGGATCAAGCCCCATGTGGGGCTCCCTGCTCAGCTGGGAGCCTGCTTCTCCCTCTCCTTCTGCCTCTCCCCACTGCTTGTGCTCTCTCTCTCTCTTTCAAATAAATGAAATCTTAAAAAAAAAAAAGATTAGTTTCTTGAACACTTTTACAAGTCTATAAACTATGTTGTCAAAGACATTTAAAGGATTAACTCTTCAGCTTCAAAATTTGGTGCACAATTATTTGCATAATTTATAATATCAAATCAAGAATATTTAATAATTGTTTTTTCCTTTTTTGTATTCAATATTAAAGACATTACAGTTAAATTCTGAACTAATTATTTTATTTTTGTTTTTTTTTTAAGATTTCTTTTTTTAAGCAATCTCTTACACCTAACATGGGACTCAAACTCACAACCCCAACATCAAGACTCCCATGCTCTACCAACTGAGCCAGCTAGGTGCCCCAATTTTGTTTTAAGCTAAGAACACAGCTAAATTTAAATTTGTCTATTGATTGGACTTAAGGAAATTTGAGTCAAGAAAAATAGGAGAGGGCCCTTGGGTGGCTCAGTCGGTTAAGCGTTTGTCTGCCTTTGACCCAGGTCATGATCCCAGGGTCCTGGAATCAAGTCCTGCATCAGGCTCCCTGCTCAGTGGGGAAGTCTGCTTCTCCCTCTGCCCCCCCCACTTGTGTGATCGCTCTCTCTCTCTGTCTCACAAAAATAAATAAATAAAACCTAAATTAAAGAAAAAAAAGAAAAACAGGAGAAAAATTTTTGCCTAAGATACCAGCCTGGAGATTTTCTTCTACTAGAAATGTTCCCACTTTCTTGTTACTTAATGCACTCAGTTTATTTCACTTTATTTTCAGATCATCACTTAAATATAATTTAACAAGAAATCTGAAATGTGATAGTATAATGTTAACCTTCTCTAATAGACCCAGGTGAAGAGGTGGTATGTGAAAGGGGTAAGAGCATTTGGTTTAAAGAAACCAAAGCATCAATTTCACTACAAAGACAGTCCTATTAAGCTAATTAGATATTATCTAATTGCTGATGCATTTTGCAGGTCAACTGTTGTGTCAATATTAAAATATACTGCTGCTGAGGAAGATTTCATGGTAACAGTCAGGAATACTGATTTGGAAGAACTATGGCATTCTTCAGAAACCTTATATACAAGAAATAAGAGTACTTACTGCATAAAGCTAAAGAATGAATCATCAAAGCCACACATGTTCAGTATCTTAGAGATAATGTCACAGAGCAACCCTTTCCATGACAATATGAAGACATAATCATGAATGCTATACTTCTACTGCTTGATGGTGTTATTTCTGATACTATATAGTACTGTCTTGTCTCTTAGTACATCAGATTTCCTAAAGTAGGAACATATTTCTTTCACCTAGCTACCTGTTACTCTGGAAATATATTAGATAGAGAAATTTGATCAGAAGTACATGGGAGAAGCTGAACTAATTAAGCTGGGGTGGTTTTTACCAGGGAGGGGAACTAGAACAAAGCCTTTGAAAACAGTTCCCATGGTAGACAGTGAGAGATAAGGCCCAAGAACGATTAAGATTCAAACTGGTGTGGAAGACATAGAGATGGCCCCCCATATTCCCTCTTTAAGGTAAGACCTTCTGTTCAGCTGCAGGGAGTACAGGTGGCAGGTTAGCTTCTGGCAGACACCCCTTCCTGTGTGATCTAGTGGATCAATGACAAGGGAGTACAAAGGTGGGGTCATTTGAGCCTTCTGTGGGACAGACAGGCATTCCTCACTCCAGAGCTCCCTACTGGGTTTACTGAAGCTTTGTAGAGCCTGCACTGTGGTTTGACTTTGCTCTTTGCCTAATCCTGCTTTCTCCCTCTTCCTTTCACAAGTGGTGATCCCTTGAACCCCAAAATCTTATCATCTACTTCTAGAGGACCCAACCTCAGACACTAGTGATCCAAAGACACAAAACAGGGAGATGGCAGAACACACACATTGTTTTGTGTGTGTCACTCCATGGCTCCTTTTACCTTTGTTACTTCTGTGTTGCTGAAGGCCATGTTTTAATTCTGTCTGCTTTTTCTTATTCTGTCTGTATTAGAGTTCTAACAGGAAACAGATGAGTGTTCCATTTTGAGGGATGACACTACTCTGTGATTGAGGAAATTTTCAGGAGGGACTATTTCAACAGTGTAGAGAGGGTTCAGGGAAACCAACAAGGGATGTAATGTCCCCAGGCATGAAGGTACAATGAGCACTACCTGGAGAGAACTATAGAAGAGGCGTGCCCACCCGGAACTCAGTCAGGAAAACCTCACTCTTCTACTTTCTGAACTCCCAGTGGTAACTTCTATTGACCAAACCCAGCCAGATGCCAGAGAATAAGGGAACCCCTTTGGAGCAGTGGACTGAGGAGTGGATTGGGAGAAGCAAAAAGAGAATATCCCATACATGGTCATTATTCCTTTACTATGTGTTTTTGAATAATAGTACACAACATCCTCGACATCCAAGATGATACATGTGAGATATTTGCTGAGCAGGGGATTGAATTGATTAGTGTCATCTATGCATAGGAAAGGAATTTAATGTTTGTTGAGCACCAATTTTGTACCAGTGAGCTTAATATTTCACATACAAATCTCATCCCTCAGGGTAGATAGATATTATTTATTGAATGCCCAGAATGTGTCAGACACTCTTCTAGAGATTGGAGATATAGGAGTGAACAGGACAAAGTCCTTGCTCTCATGAACCTTGCATGCTAATGAAGGAAGCCAGATAAGAACAAGCAAACAAATAAATGAACAAGATAATTGCAGGTAGTGATAAGTTATTATGGAGAAAAGTGTCTACTTAGATAAAGTTGTCAGGGAAGTCATCTCTGGTGAGTGACATTTGACTTAAGATAGGGGAATAGAAAGCAGAACATTCTGTGCAGAGGGAAGAATTAAGAAGGAGGTCATACTTCATTGTCTGAAGCTTGATTACCAAAGACTTAAAGAAAAAAATGAAGGAGGCATTGCGGATACATTCCAGTATGTAAGAGACAAGGCTTTAAGGTGGAAAATAAGTTGGCATATACAATCAAGAAACAGAAAGGCAGGTAGAGAGTGGTAGGAGATGAGGTAGGAGACAGAGGTCCAACCATGCGGGGACTTTGGGCTGTGGAAATAAGTGTAAGTTTTATCCTAAGTGCAATGGGAAGCCATAGGAGGTTTTAAGGAAGAGAATAACATCATTTGTGTTTTTATCATATAACTTCACTTTTTTTTTTTTGCTAACTTCTACTT